GAAAAAAGTAAATAGACGCTAATAAGCTTTCCTCAATGTGAATTTGTTCATTCATACTTACATAAGGGAATGTGCGAACCATGAATCACTCAAATTGAATTGCTCATGAGAAAAAAAAAAAAAAATTCTCTGGCTTTGCAGTCAAATTCCAGACTGCTTTCCTGAAGAAAAAAACTGTCCCCACATAAAGAATAATTAACCACAGACTTCAGACTCAATGTGGCTCCAATTGGCAAAATTTTTTTGATTTACGTGAGAACATGGATCCTTGTGAGAGAGACTTGTTATCTGAATATTCTTTGCTGTGACTGAATTTGTAGTCTGCCAGAACAGCCAATAGTAAAGTCTAAAAAAATTCAGTCATCTGGAAGTTCTGCTCACACAATGCCAGAATAGAGAAATACTTCCAACGACATGGATGCTGGCAAATCTGTAGTTTTGTTTTGTTTTAAAAGAGGATAATGGATTGCAGTTTTCACAGAGAACTAGGTAAGTTGGCATTATGTAAATATGACCTACCTGAGAGTTCACACATAATCTATTACATAACTTGCCTGATTTCAATGGCTTTTTGTAAAATGTAATCATGCTGACTAAAGCTCTGCATGCCCTGCCAAGGTGTGGAGCCAATTAACACAGGGATAAGTGACAAGACCAGAAATATGGACAGTGCATTATGAAGAATTTCAGACATTGTCAGAAACGTGCTCTGTGATCATCAGTCAGAGAAAAAATAATGATGACCAGTGTGCCAAAATCTCGATACAAACCTATTGCTATTGCTGCTTCTAGACCTAGAAAACCTTACGTCTGACCAGCTTAGCTTTTAGTAAGAATCAAACTAAATTGTTTATTTTAGTTTGCCTTGTTTAGTAGATTTCTATTCATACAGACCCTTCCTCCTTTCATTTAGATTCTCTCTTCCACTGATAAAAAGAAAAAAAAATCTGAACAAATAATTTATTTTGAACATCTTAGCATATCTGAGCACTATTGGATGAAAAAACAAATGATATAACTACAAAAGAATAATTATAAACCATACTATAATACAGATGTATTATAGTATGGCATACAATGTATTGTAGAATACATTGTTGATATAAAAAATTAAAGAGTTAGACTTCATAAATTTTGGTTAAGCATTATGCTTCCTGCATCATTCAGGTTCATGGAAGGTTTCACTGTACTCTGATTGGAGTGGACCTGTGGGGAAAAATACTGGACAGCACGGTCAATTTGAACCATAGGTTGGCGGTTCAAAGTCTCCAGCCATTCCTTGGAAACTCTGTACAGGGTCACTATGAGTCGGAACTGACTCGGTGAAACGTATCCACAGTAACAACAATAAATAACCCATTGGATAGAGGCATCTTTAGTTATGTGAACATGCTAAAAAATATTTAAAATACTGAAATATTTCTCAAAAGTACTGAAGCATAACACTATATCTAGATTGTTATTTTATATATTTATCTTTAATTTTTTATTGGGAATTGAGTGAAGATTTACAGAGCAGATCATCAGTTTACATTCAGCAAATTATATACTTCACTTCTTTACAATGATTGCAATCCTCTCCAGGTACCATCAGATAATAGTACTTAACTTTATTTCCTTTAATTCTTACACTCCTCTTGGTGTGTCTTGCTACCTTCATCTTTCTTCTGCCAACCTCTTTCTTGTATATTGCTTGCCCTGTCATCCATGTTAACATGTGTATACCCTCTGTTGTTACTGTTAAGTGAGTCTGTTCCAACTCATAGTGACCCTGTATAGGGTTTCCGAGGAGCCACTGGTGGGTTTGAACCACCAACCTAGCAGATCAAACCGACCTTTTGATCCAGTGCTTATCCTACAGTGCCACATTAAGTCTACCCTCTAGGCCATGAATAATTTCCTCACTTACCTTAGTCCTGGTGTGGTGCTGTGGGTTAATGTGTCAGACTGCAAAGTTGTGTGAACTGCTAGGTCAGCAGTTCAAGCTCACCAGATGCTCCTTGGAGACCCTATACAGGGTAGCTGTGGGTTGGAATCGACTTGATGGCACTTAACAGCAACAATAACTACGGCTTACCCCTTCTGTAACCATCATTGTTGTTAAGTACCATGGAGTCGGTTGACTCATAGCGACCCTGTATAGGGTTTCCAAGACTGCAAATCTTTAAGGGAGCAGAAAGCCTCATAATTCTTCCATGGAGCAGCTGGTAGTTTCGAACTGCTGACCTTGAGGTTAGCAGCCTGATTTGTAATCACTACACTACCAGAGCTCCTTTGTATCTTTTTTGTTTTTGTTTTCATTATTCAAACACACTATTCTTTAGTATACTTAAGACTTCTAACCTAAATCAGGAATATTATGAAGATATATGAATTGTTATTATGTGCTGTCCAGCCAGTGCTGACTTATAGCAGAATTTAACAACAACAACTTTACCAAATCTGATATCCTTTTCCAGGAACTGGACCCTCTTGATAACATGTCCAAAATATGTGAGATGAAATCTCACCACACTTGTTCTAAGAAAACTTTGTCTGTACTTCTTTCAAAACAGGAAAACTTCGTCTGTAATTCTTTCAAAACAGGAAAATTTCATCTGTACTTCTTTCAAATCATGCCAATCCATGGTATATTTCATATTCTTCTCTAGCACCATAATTCAAATGCATCAATTCTTCTACAGTCTTCCTTATTCATTGTCCTTAATTAGTACTTAAAGTGTTATCCTTGCTCTTTAACAAATGTCTTTTGTAGCAGATTTGCCCAATGCAATATGTCGTTTGATTTCTTAACTGCTGCCTCAATGAGCAGTGATTGTGAACTAGTAAGATGAAATCATTTATAACTTCAATACTTTTTGTGTTTGTCATGATGCTGCTTATTGGTCAAACTATGAGAATTTTTGTTTTCTTTATGTTGAGGTGTAACCTATTGCGAAGGCTATGGTCTTATTAAGTACTTAAAAGACCTCTTCCTTTTCAGCAAGTAAGGTTGTGTCATCTGCATATCACAGGTTGTTAATAATAAGTCATCTTTGAACCCTGATGTCCTATTTTTCTTTATATAGGCCAGTTTAGTAGATTATTTGCTAAATCTGAGTAAGTATGGCAAACGGATACAATCCTGACACATCTTTCTTGATTTTAAACTATTAAGCATCCCCTGGTGCTATTCAAATGATAGCCTGTTGTTCTACAATTTTATTATGAGCACAGTTTATTCTGAAACTCCTATTCCTAGCAACATTATCTATAACTCGTTAGTATACATGCAGTCAAATTCCTTTGCATGATAAATAAAGCACAGGTAAACATCTTTCTGGAGCTCTCTGCTTTTAGCCAAGATTCATCTGACATCAGCAAAGATATCCCTCATTCCAAGTTCTGAATCTGGTTTGGGTTTTTGGCAATTCCCTGTAGATGTACTGCTGCAACTGTTTTTGAGTTATTTTCAAACAAAATTTATTTGTTTTTCATATTAATTATATAATTTTGTAATATCTGCATTCTGTTGGTTGACTTTTATTTGGAATGCACACAAATATCAACATCTTCCAATCGAAAATCCAGGCAGCTGTCTCTAAAATTTCTTGACAGAAAAGTGACAGCTTCTAACATTACATCAATTTGTTGAAACTTCTCAATTGGTATTGCATCAATTTTTGGAGACTCGTCTTTCACCAATGCCTTCAGCTTGGACTTTGTCCTTCAGGAATACCTTTAGTATTGGTTTTTGACCATATACTACTTCCTGAAATAGTTGAATGTTGCTCGATTCCTTTTGGTGCAGTGATGATGTCATTCCCATCCTTTCTTTATGTTTTCTGCATCATTTAATTTTTTGCCTTCAATATTACAACACAATGCTTGATTTTTTTCTTTAGTTCTTTCAGTTTGGGAAATGCCATTTTTGTTTTCTAATTCCAGTTCTTTGCACATGTCATCATAATTATTTTATTCATGTCAGTAATCTCTTGAACATTTGAGAAGAAAGAATGAATAATATGCTCCAAGTATTGTTATTTGTACACGGCCTTATAAATTTTGATGTTGCAGACAGTTAGTTTTAGTTACTGTGTTGATGTTTATCTTATATATAAGAAAAGAACTTTTAAAAACTTTTCATTTGTAAAATCATGAGAACCCAATTTTATTAATAAGGATTCCACATTATTTAAAAATATTGTAAAAAATAAAAGAACATCATTATTGCCTTCAAGGCAGACTTTACCTAAATAAAAATGAAAAGATCAGTAAATACACACATATCTTTATTTATGCTTAATCTGAACTTGAATATACTTTAATGATCCTGTTGCATTCAACTAGCTTAAACATATGAATTGTTTAAATATTCATATACTGAATTGCCACTGTTTTTTGTTTGTTTTTTTAGGTTTATTCCTTTCAATCGTATTTAGAGCTTAAGTATATAAACTAAGCCACTTCTTAAGAAAAAGAAGATTGTATCTTAGATAGCTAACTCCTTGAGAGACATTAGTTTATAATTATCACTAGCATATTAAGAGCAGTTAAAATTTCTGTTCATATTTTTAAGAAGAAAATTTGATAATTTTCTAATTAGACTGTTAGTTTACAGCATATGTAAAAAATAAGAACTATTAATAGACCAAGGAGCAGAGATAGCATAGTGGTTACGAATCGGGCTGCTAATCTCATGGTCAGCAGTTGGAAACTACCAGCCGTTCTGCAGGAGAAAGATGAGGCTTTCTGCTCCTATAAAGATTTACAGCCTTGGAAACCCTGTACAGGGTCGCTCAGAGTCGAAACCGACTCCAAGGCACATAATAACAACAACAACAACAATTCATAGACCATACCCTGTAAAGGGGAGGCAGATCTTATTTTCTTTGATCTCTGTCTCCTAGAGCACAATATTTGGAAAGGTATTTGCATAATAAACATTTTTAGCAAGAATGATTGAGTGTGTTTGAATGATTGAAGTTTAATCCTCTTTTCTTTTCTTATTTTCTTTTCAGACTCCCAAGAAGGAAATTATAAATCAGAAGTCAACAGCAAACCCAGGAAGGAAAGGACAGCATTTACCAAAGAACAAATCAGAGAACTTGAAGCAGAATTTGCCCATCATAATTATCTGACCAGACTGAGGCGATATGAGATCGCAGTGAATCTGGATCTCACTGAAAGACAGGTAAAGCAGGAAATTGCCATTATATGAGATTTATTATTGTTTTGGGCCACCAATGTTCTTTTGCCATTTTTGAAATATCTGTGTCTATGGTTCATGTCCAATTGGAAGATTGGTGCAGTGTTCATTGATAAACTTTTACCAAGAAAAATAACAAAAATAAGAATAGTAAAGTGACACTTTAAAGCTGTATTGTTCCCTTGTTCCCATTAAAGAACTCACCTTTATTCTGAGATTGTTATCTTCTTGTATTTTTTTTTTGGTTTTAAACTCTTAACTTTTTTTTTTTTTTTTTAATGCTGTTATGTAATAAGGAATCCTCTTTGCTTATATTTTAGAGTCTTCATACTTGGCATAATAAAAAGTTGGCAATCCAATATTCATTTCCTAACTTTGTCATGATAGAGTACTATATGTTGCAGTAAAAACTTAACCCCAAATAATCAATGGCATAATGTGAAAGAAAACAACTTATTGTTTATTCACTTTGCATACTAACTCCCCAAATGCAGCAATCCAAATAATCACTGAAGGACTCTTTCTAAATCTCTGGCATCTTGGCATGTGATCTGCAAGTAAGGACTCGGAAAGTCACATATTGATTTTTTTAGTTTTCACCTGGAATGACCCATATCATGTTCTTTCATACATTAATGTGAAAAATAAATGCATAAAATGATCAAATAGTCTAGCTTTGGTTCAAAGGAATGGAAAATAATGAGGGAAAGGGCAAATAGATCATAGGTAGGTATTTTTGTCCCATTTATCAAGCTATTTTTGAAATTCTATTAATCTCAGAACTTTAAAATTCTGGTTCCCAATCATTTAGAGAACACTTTGAAATTATTTATGATATACTTGTTGTTATTGTTAAATGCCATTGAGTTGGTTCCAACTCAGGTACAGCATTTTCCTTCTCCTAAAATTTACATGCAGTTTCCTTCAAAAGTGTATGGCATTTGGTATGCTTGAGAGTAGCCTCCAAAATCTTCGTCATCAGGCATTTTTTTAAAAATTTAATTAAGTTAAGATCATAGAAAAAGGAAGGGAATATTCATCTATAGAGATAATGATCTGCAAGAAATGTGACCATGTTTGAAATAGAACATTAATAGAATAAGAAAGTAAAGGTTGTTTCTAATCTATAGAAATGGTAGGAGGCCAGTACTCAGCTCTCAGCCAAGAGAAAAGTCAAACCTCTGTTTCTAATTTGGGCATGATCCATAGTTATCTGTCATTATCTGGTCAGAGGGCAGATGTTCACATTTTTACCTAAAAATAATTTCTTTTAGAAGCAGTTCTGTAAATCTGATTGGGAAATTTGGAGACCCTTTGAAAGGTCTTTCTTCTTCCTAACAGACTTGCCATAGAATTACATGCAATTATATTAATAAATTATGTTGTGTTGTTGTTACGTGCCGTCGAGTCGGTTCCGACCCATAGCGACCCTGTACAGGGTTTCCGAGGGTGTAAATCCTTACGGGAGTAGAAAGCCTCATCTTTCTCCCGCGGAGCAGCTGGTAGTTTCGAACCGCTGACCTTTAGGTTCGCAGCCCGATTCGTAACCACTACGCTACCAGAGCTCCTTAATAAATTATATATATGTGCAAATATATGCACAAACACAATTTTAGGCTTTGTTTAAAAAAGTATTTTAGTAATTTTGTATCAGTTAGCCTATGCTTTATAATAAACCACTCAATAGCCTCCATTGTATTTGTTCACAATATTGTGAGTAAGGGTTTGAGATTGGCTCTGTTGAAGAATTCTACTGGATTTAATTTAGATCATGCAACTGCAGTCAACTGATAGTTAACTAAGAGTTCTTTGGTCTAGACAGCCTGTTCTGTGTGGTTTCATCTTCCAATAGACTAGCCTGGGCTTTTTCACATGTCAGTAGAAACATTTCCAATAGTAATCTGAGGCAAAACAAGCTCCAGTTTACAAGGGCTTCTCAAACTTTTACTTAACATCATGTTTGTGAATACCTCATTGGCCAAAGAAAATTTTGAGACCAAGCCTAATGTTGATATAGTAGGGGACCACATAAGAGGATGAATATAAGGAGTCTAGATTCATTGGATGCCATTACTGAAAAACATCTAACCATGGTTTCATAGGACAACCCTTGGGGGCTAATAAGGCTTCCAAAGAAATAATATTGTGCAGAATAAAAGTTTGGACCATAACTTTCTAGTTATTGTTTTCCATTTAATCTGAAAAAGAGATGTATGTATGTGAAATCTAATTTGCAAATCAAAGCTAAGTTTTTAGAGAGCCACTAGATTTTAATTTTTATTTAAAATAATTTGAATAAGAATCCTAGTTTTGCCACTTGAAAAATGTGTATTCTTAGGTAAACAACAATCTTGCCAAGGTACAACAATTCCAGCAAAACTATCTAGTCTTTTCCTAAGTAGATTTATATGGCATCCTAAGTATGAAAGATGTTTAAAAAATAAATGATAAAATGTAACTATCACCCATGGAGGAAAATTTGTTATGTGTGTTTTATTAATTCTTTTTCAGCATAATATTTGTTGAGTTAGGTGCTGAAAATGGAGTCTTATTAAGTCTTTGCTAGAATTCATAGAAGAATAAAATATTGAGAACATACAAACAATTGTGATGAGTCTTATATTACAAGGAAAGAATGACAGGATTGTGTGGGAGACTGTTTCTGTTTATGCCACATATTCATCAAATGTCAGCACTCTGCACATTATTATTGCTTGTTGTTAGGTGCCTTTCAGTCAGTTTTGACTCATACAAACCCTGCATAAGGGCTTCAAGGAGCAGCTGGTAGATTTGAACCACAACCTTATGGTTAACAGTCTAGTACTTATCCTACAATAACACAATAGGATTCCAGTAAGCACATGCTTGATGTAAAATACTATTTTGGAAGTTTTACTCATCTTTTCTTAGCTTAATTTTCAATTTTTGTACTCTTGAAGCTAAGAAATCACCTTTCCCCGGGATGCCAGAGTTCTAGTCCCAGTAAATACTTTCAGTTTATTTCTAGAAGCTTGGTTTTTAAATTTAGAGACAAATATTTAGAGTAGAATGATTTTCATTCATCTTCATTAAATTTGGATGCAGTAGCTTAATGGGTTACAAGTTGGACTACTAACCGCAAAGTCAGCAGTTTGAAACTACTAGGCACTCCAAAGGAGAACACTGAGGCTTTCTGCTAAATATACAGCCTCAGAAATTGTATGCAGAGTCACTCTGAATCAAAACCAACTCCATGGACCATAATCACCACCACCATTCTATCACTTGGATTTTGCATTTATGTCATGCATGCTTATCTATGTAATCCATATCTTTACTATATACTTTATTTTTTAGGTATTACATTTTTATAGAAATTCCACATGTAAAATAGTCCAGTTAAAGACATGCAACTTTAAAAATTCCATTCTGCAACACTTACTCTTTCCAGGCTTTAAAATGACATGAGCTTTAGTGAAGTAATGTAAATGAATACTCATTACCATCATGCACTACGTGACATCCATTTGAGCAGTGTCTGACTGCATATACATTTGTAGTCCCATAAGGAGTCCTGGTGTGGCTCTGTGGGTTAATGCACTAGACCACAAAGCTGTTTGAACTGCAAGGCTGGCAGTTCAAACTCACCAGCTGCTCCTCGAAAACCCTATCCAAGGTCACTCTGGGTCGGAACTGACTCGATGGCACTTAACAACAACAACAAAGTTATACTGCAGTTCAGAAGCAACAATCAGAGAAGAGGATATGGCAAATGCAACCACTTCCCCACATATATAATACATATATCTCATGTCTCTTGCATACAAAGTAATTGCTATGCTAGATGCACAATGGTAAAATACTTCTATATGTCTTCATAGTTATAACATTTATGTTACTGGCTTATGTATGCAAGGGTTTTTAAAAGTTCATGGGAAAAAATAGAGTTAAAAGATAATAGAATTGTTCTACAAACTTTTTAAAGGTCTCTTCCTATGTACTGCACCACACTTTCTTCCTTAAAAGTTTACTTAGTAATAGTGTATGCTTTAAATCATAGACAGTAGCATTCAATCTCATATAGTATGCATGCCTTGAGTATCATAGTGTTACCTCTGTTTAATATCCTTCTGACAGTATTACTGTGAAGTGTATCATGGCTTCAAAATGCAGCAAAACTACTGCTAGTGGTAATAGCAGCAACAGCCAAAGGAGAAGTATCTATCTGAAAGTGAAAAACAGATCATTGAACAACACATGTGGAAAAGCAACACATGTCACACACACTTAAAAGCAATAAAAAATTCTAGCTGTTAAAGGCATTGGCTCTACTGAACACTACAAGTCTAATGAAAATTAATAGGAGATCTTTTTTAAATATGGAGCTATTACTAATAATGTGGATTGTGGACAAAACACAGCAAAATCCCTTGTAGCACATTGACTGTCATCGCTAAGGTATAAAGTTTGTCACAGATGCTTAAAGAAAACCTATGGTGTTTACACAACATTCACAAGTATATGAAGTTTTTTAAAATACCATGGCTTGGGTCAGGCCATTAGTAGCTATCCTCAGTGAGACAGATTAACACATAGTCCCAACAAGGGATTCAAATATAGCAAGTTTCAAAAAGAAATTTTCACTTTTATTTCAAATGTTTGGTTTATAGTTATTTGTTTCTATAAAATGATGGGTAGATTCATTTTTCTACCAATCCATTTGCCTCTTTGGCCATCTAAAGAAATTCTATGAGTATACTGATAAATATTTTATTTGTTTTCTCTTCTCATAAATTGTAACCTTTAGTGGATAGGTATAGCATCTTTTGAAATAATACATAGGATACTGTCATTAGGTAAACTAGATAAGATAAATAAAAGTACAAAATAATTATAGAAAATAGTAATAGTTATTCTATTCTCATTTGTAATATTTCTGTGTAAGACAAAAATATGATTGATTCCAAACTACATAATTCATACAGAAAAATTATCCTGATAGTTTT